AAATCATGACTTTGCATTTCCATAACCAGCACACCTACCGGGTTGAGGTCACGCACTATGCTCGCTGCAGGTGATTTCAAGACTCTATCTACCACATCACAAACCAAGTCCTCCAATCGGTTCAGGAGCTCCTCAAAGGTCAGGAAAGGACACTCTGCTTCCACGTGAGTGTATCTGAAGAACAAGACATTATCTGGGAGCCGCTCTTCTTTTCCATCAGGTTTCTCTCAAGCAAGGAACTGCCCAGAAATGCAAAATTCCAGCACCGCTAACCAACTCCCAACCCAGCACATTAGTTTTAGAGCCCCTACCTTTCCCCCTTGAATAGTGATGTCTTGTTTATTCCTTAACATAAAAAGGATCAAGGCAAAGTGAAAGAAGAGACCATAGCTAGCTATGGCCTAGGAGGCAAAACTTCATACATGGCTTCCATTAATTTGTTGAACTGCCCTCCACACACCCTCTTAACATATCAAATTTTTTTACATAATCATCATTTGCCTACATAAAGACTGCTTCTCTAAACATATTTTCTTAAAAATAATTTTTTTAATAAAAATGAAATGGTAATTCCGTACTCAGCCAGGTGCCTTCGTGTTCTAGATTGTTCTGCCCGGTATGACTGTGCAATACAAAACACATCTCCCAGAGCTGGAATGCAGGTCTCCAGGTACAATTGAGAGGACTGAGTCAAAAATGCCTCTTCCCCAAAATAGTCAAGCTTGAAGAGTGTAGCACCTCCTTCCACTTGTGTTTGCACTAACGTTGGAGGAGTAACCTGTTCAAATGCAAAGGAGGAGTAAATAAAGGCATATTGTGAGTGCCACTATTCAAGTTTAAAAATGGCAGAAGGTGTTTGTTTGCAAAAGATGACGAACACACTCTTACTTCATAGTACCCCCTATCAAAGAAGTGATCTCGAAAGCACCGGGTGACCACCGAGCGTGCTTTCAGGATCTTGGACATGTTTTCTCCCCGAATCATCATGTGTCGGTTGTTGAGCTGGACGTCCACGTCAGACTCCTCGTTAATCAAGTTATCAGCTCCTCCAGCAGGGGCCAGCCCGATCAGTTCCCAGAAGTCACAGCTCAACTCATGGCCACCGGGAGCCTCCATTTTAGAAAGGGGGGGTGGGGAGAAAGGAGAGAGAAGGAGACAAAAAACTAACATTATTGGCGATTTTCATTTATGTCAAAATTGTTGGTAAGCTATTTTTAGGCCTCATCATTATTAGCCTACCCTTCTAGACACAAAGACCTAATAATCTGATTTTATTTTGATATTTAATATTCCTTTCAGAGTAAATACACACACGATTTTTAAACAATAGAAAAGCACAAACTAGAAAATAAATGATTATCTTGCAACTTGGAGTAACTACTAACCACTGTTATCATTTGGTGTATCTTCCTAACCTTTCCCTGATAATTTAAAATAACATTTTATCGACATTGAAAATCTTCTCAAATGCAAAGGTTTTACTAAAAGCTGTTTCTCTTTGGAACAGATATATGATAGAAATTCAAATTCTCCCTAATAATTCCATTCCGATTCATTTTAGAAGCCACACATCACGAAATATACAATATCTTGGTGCCAAACCCTGGATAGCAAGTAACATGTCATGACAAATATGTTTTGCAAATCACATTATATCAGTGAAGTTGAATCAGATATTTATGCTTAATGTAGGTTCTTTAACATGAACTCTGGGAGACCCTCTGATCTAGTCTATTAAGGCAGACTCTAGGGGCTCCCTCTGGTGGTTAATAGGTCACATTTGTTCGTTTTCTTTCCAAGACAACAAATACAACCACAGTAATTATTTGAAAAGTAATTACCAACAAGTAACTCTTATGTGCCTGTTGGTTGGAGAAGAAACAACTCTCTGAATATCAGAATTATATTTAACTTTTTCTAAAAGAGACTTCCAAATTCTATTCAGAAAGTTTCAGATTTAGATTACTGTTCTCTCGGGCACCTGGGTGGCTCAGTTGGTTAAGCGACTGCCTTCAGCTCAGGTCATGATCCTGGAGTCCCGGGATTGAGTCCCGCATCGGGCTCCCTGCTCAGCAGGGAGTCTGCTTCTCCCTCTGACCCTCCCCCCTCTCATGCTCTGTCTCTCTCATTCTCTCTCTCTCAAATAAATAAATAAAATCTTTAAAAAAAAAAACAAAAAACTGTTCTCTCCTGAATTTTTTTGGGCAGACTGTTTTTATTACTACCTGGCTGAAAAATTATTCATGCATCCACAGCAAAGTGACTATACTATGGCCCATCAAGATTATTTAGGAATTCTATAAGGTTGGAAATCCCTGAGTTTGTTGTATCGTATGAGTCGTACAGCATACTTACTTCACTGGAAAAGGAAAAGGCATCCTAAATTTAGCAAGTACATCACATCTGTGCATTTGCCAAATACCAAAAGTACAAATAAAACACTGGAGAACGGGGCACCTGGGTGGCTCAGTCGTTAAGTGTCTGCCTTCGGCTCAGGTCATGATCCCAGGGTCCTGGGATCGAGCCCCACATCAGGCTCCCTGCTCTGCGGGAAGCCTGCTTCTCCCTCTCCCACTCCCCCTGCTTGTGTTCCCTCTCCCGCTATGTCTCTCTCTGTCAAATAAATAAATAAAATCTTTAAAACAAACAAACAAACAAAAAAACACTGGAGAACAAACACTTACCCTCCCAGTACAAAATTCAATCTACTCACCTGTTTGCCCTTTGGAGTCAGATTTAGCATTCCATACACCGCAACACTACTCTCAGTGGCCAAGACGACTCCATTGTAACACTGACACTATAAAAAAATGAAAGTTCAAATTTATTTACTCATATTTACATTAAAATGTTTGTTCTGATGTACAGAAAGCTAAGCGGATTACTTACATATAAGTTACCTGGTCTAAAACTAGTAAAATGAGATGGTCATCAATTTTTTAGTATTCATAAAGAATAGCTATTTTTGTGGGAGGATTCATCTACAGAGAAATGTGTATGTAAATAGATATTTTATATATATACATATGCATAAATGACAGTAGCCCACATCTCCTAAAAATATCTTTTTTTTTTAAAGATTTTATTTATTTATTCATGAGAGAGAAAGGGGCAGAGGGAGAAGCAGGCTCCCCAAGGAGCAGGAAGCCCAATGCGGGACTCGATCCCAGGACCCCAGGATCATGACCTGAGCCGAAGGCAGATGTTTAACCATCTGAGCCACCAGGCACCCTCTTAAAAATATCTGAACAGCACATTTTATTCTTTTTTAAAATTCACACTGTTAAAATAATAAACCGTCCACCTGGACTATGATCATCAACACTTGCTAAAACCATTAGGATAAAAGTGACATGTAACTTTATAATGGAGGGATCAGGCTAGCAACACTTCAACCCACTATCATAAAATCATAAAAAAAGACAAGAGGACATTATGTGTCTTTGATGTGAGGCAATGAGAAGCGCACAGCCTTGCCCATGAAGTAGTTGTGCAAAAAAAAAAAGTCAAACAAAATGAAAAAAACCCCAAAACCTGAATTTGATAAGCTTGTAAGAAATACAGAGGAGAGAAATATGTTAAATGACCCCTCGGGATGCAACCAGCCAAACCTGGAATGGAGGAGTTCCACTGGACAACCAACCAGGTTTTTTTAAACAAACGGGGTAGAAAAGACAATAGAAAAGGGCGAACAGTTACAGACTGAGAGATTTCAGAGCCACATCAGCTCAATGCAATACATAGATCTTGTCTGGGTTCTCATTCAAACCAAACAACTGTAAAAACACATTATGAGTCAATTGGGAGAATCTGACTGGATATTTAGGAGTTGCCTTTGTTTGGGGAGGGTGTGTTTAACATTAGCGTGATTATATTCAAAATATATTTTCTTGGAGATGTGTATGCAAGTATATTTATATGAAATGATATGATGTCTAGGGGGCAAAAGGGGCGAGCAGTAAACCAGAATGGCCATATTATTAGCCATTACTTGTTAGAGACTTAATGTTTTTGTCCCTCCAAAATTCCTATGTTGAAATCCTCCACCCCAATTTGCCAGTACGAGGAAGTGGGCCCTTGGACAGGTGAATGGGCTCAGATGAGGGTATGCTCCCCCTCTCTGCTCTCTGCCACATGAGGATGCACTAGGAAGCTGGCAGTGTGCAGCCTGGAAGAGAGCCCTCACCAGAACATGACCATGCTGACACCCTGAGCTTGACTTCCAGCCTGTAGAACTGTGAGAGAGAAATTCCTGTTGTTTATAAGCCACCCAGTCTTTGGTATCTTATGACAACAGCTAAAACTGACCTTACCAAAGCTGAGTGACGAGCACATGAAGTTTCTTTATACAGCTGACCTTGAATAATTTGGGAATTAGGGGTGCTGATGCCCTGCATTGTCTAAATTCCACATATAACTTGATTCTCCCACAACTTAACTAATAACCAGCCTACTGTTGGCCGGAAGCCTTGCCAATAACATAAAGTCAATTAACATATATTTTATATGTTATGTGTATTATACTGTATTCTTAAAATAAGCTAGAGAAAAGAAAATGTTATTAAGTCATAAAGAAGAGAAAATTCACTCAGTACTGTAAAAAAAATCCAGACACAAGCAGACCCATGCAGTACAAACCCATGTTGTTCAATGGTCAACTGTACTGTTATATTTTTTATGTGTTGGAAATTTTCTATAACAGTTTAAAGTAAATATAAAGATCCTAAAATTCCCAAAACTAACAATAAAGGAACTTACTGAAAAAAAAAAAAATCAAGTTTTCAGCTATAAATAAGAAAAAACATTTACCAAATCATCTGACAAGACACACTGAAGATAGCCCGTACCATCCCGCAACACCAGAAACATTAAATTCTTTCCTAAAAATGAGAAAGAAAAATTTAGGCCGACTGTTCTCAAGGCAATTAAAAGTACTTTCTCATAATTTAATCTTATAATAGGTAACTCCATGGTTAAATTGTTAAGAGTTCAAACCTCCCGCGTGGCCCCCTTTCTCTCAAGTGGCCATCAGGAACATCACTACTCAGTATCTGTAAAGCATTTCACCTTCTTCACTGTACTTCCAAATCCTACATGAGCCTCATGATCCACGTGATCAGGGGAAAGCAAGACCGTCAAAAACGTGAGACGAGGGATTACATCTCACTCACCACTGAATCCTCTGCAGTACCTAGCACAGTACTGTGCGCTCAGCGAGAGGTGCATAAATATCACTGCATAGAATCACTCTTTTGATTTATGCCCCATCTCTTTTTATGAAGGATGTGGTAACTACTTACAATAAAATACACATAATAATAAGACAAAGCAAAAAGTCAGGACTGAGAGAAGTAGAATGCAAACACACACTAATTATAAAAGCCAACACTACTGCCATAAATTAATTTAGGATTTGGCTCTGCCCTTCCTGTAATACATCCCTTGCTTTTCATTAAATAATTAAATTCAACTAGACAAATATTTACTGGATATACCTGCTGATCCCTGTGGTTGGTTACAGTTAGATAGCATTTAAATAATTTTTAACCTATAATAGTCATTTAAGAACAAATTTAGGATATAATTCACTATCCTCTTTTATAAACTAGCATCCCAAACCAAAAATATCCCCCACCTAAGTAAATGTTTTTATGTTCTTCTTCATCTAGACCAGAGATGTTTAAAATTAAAGAGAGAGAAAAGAAAAGCTATACCATTTATTTACCTTGTCTACGCAGCCTGTGGACCCAGCCAAATACCTTTACTCTTTGGCCTCTGTATCCTTCTAGTGCATGAATCTTCACCTGTGAAATTGAAATCAGTAACATTTGACCAATCATGTAATTTATCACATATCAACTTCTCCACTAATACTAGATGGGTGGCGGTAAAGTGTTAAAATTTCACAAATGATGCAAAATGACAGTCATTCTACAACAAACGTTCACCATATTGGAGTGGTTAAAAAAAAAAAAAACCAAGTCTTCTTTCTCTTAGTGCAAAACTGACACTGAGAACCATCTGGAATTTTAGATACTGCTATATAAAATCAATGAATAAATGAATTCCTAAGAGCAACAAGAGGATTCTGCACGAAGACCTTCCTGCCCTCACAGTCCCTCCCGACACCACAAGGTAGAAGCTAACCAAGGCTAGCTATTGGTTTGGAGGAGGAAGCACAGAGGAGAGGAGTACAGGAAGGGGAGGGTGAAGGTAGCCAAGACAGCTTCACCACTAAGGACACAGGAAAAAGACAACAATCCATGAGCAGTAAGAACTATTCGAGGGGCGCCTGGGTGCCTCAGATGGTTAAGTGTCTGCCTTCGGCTCAGGTCATGATCCCGGGGTCCTGGGATCGAGTCCCACATCAGGCTCCCTGCTAGGCAGGGAGCCTGCTTCTCCCTCTGCCTCTCTCTCTCTCTCTCTGTCTCTCTGACTCTCATGAATAAATAAATAAAACATTAAAAAAAAAAGAACTATTTGAAATCTAAGCATGTCCGCTCACAGCCCAACATCTGTTCTAGAAAAAATACAGAGAATCCAATTCATAAAATCACAGAACACTTTATCTATTTAAAAAAATCATGAAAATCATGGATTTTGACCTCTTCATTTTATGGTGAGGAAATGGACATGTAGGGAGGGAGGACACTTAGCTAGCTTTCAGGTGGGATGGGAATCATTCAACACCTAATTATTAAACTTTATAATAAAATGAACCCCCAAAGAACCAGCCTCGTAACTCTAAAATGTTATTTTCTCTCTATCCCTTCTAAAAGGAAAGGAAGGGCAAACGGTGTCAAGAAGTAAACCAGCCGGCCCGGCCCTCGGACATAGAACTGACAGTCTGACGAGGCACAGCCATGATATTTGGGACAGTATGTGTCACACTCACACATTTTGGCTCTGGGAGACTTGGATCGTTTTCAATGGTAATCTTCTTTGCTTCTTCCAGGTTCTTTTCTCTCCGCAAATTGTCTTCTGCCTAATTTTAACAATAAAGCAGTTTGTTAACACGATTTCTAGTATTCTAACTTAAAAAATGTTCACAGCAGCAAAATCACTGCTCACCTCTTTCTTTTCCCGGGATTCACTCTTCATTTGTTCTCTATGCCACATTTTTTTAATGTTCTTCATCTGTGATTTAGAAATAACATCCCACCTCTAGAGAAAAAAACGGATATTTAATTTTTTCAAGAACCTCTATGTTCTGATGAAAATTTATTTACAAAATGTAATTCGGTAGAGTTTTTGGCTCATCCTACCTCATTTTCTTTTTGTGAATCTATGTAAATGGTGGGAAACGGTTCTTTTCCTACTGTCATCAAAGCCTTGGGTGGGAAGGGAGAAAAAGAAAATTTAACATTGTACCATATTTGAAATCAAAATCACATCCTAATTATGAGGTAACTTCAACCATCTAGAATGTCATCAAGAGCCAAGAAGAAAAGCATACAGATCCCAACAGCCAAAAGTGAATGTTGAAAGAATGACTGGTTGGATGTACTAAGAATACTTTGCTTAAAGTAGAAGCCCTCGGGTCCTTTCACAAACAGTTCTAGCAAGTGGGGCTACACAATACAGTTGATCCCTGAACTCGGGTTTAAACTGCGTGGATCCACTTCTATGTAGATTTTTTTCCATAGATACAGTACAGTGCCGTAAACACATTTTTCTCCTCCTTATGATTTTAACATTTGCTGTTTTCTAGTTTGCTTTTTTGTAAAAATACAGTATAGAATACATATAACATTCAGAATGTGTTGACTATGTTATTGGTTTATGTTATTGGCTTCTGGTCAACTGTAGGCTATTGGTAATTAAGCTTTAAGGAAGTCAAAAGCTGTATGCAGATTCTGACTTGGCAGGTGTCAGCGCCCCTAACCCTGTGCTGTTCAAGGGTCAACTGTATACCATTTCCTGTACAAGTAGACTAGAAGCAACATATTTTAAGTGGCTGTGGGAACCAGCAGGAAGTATACTGAGAACAACAGAGGAGAGAAAGTTGACAGTAGAAGTCAACTGCAGATCACACCTAAATGGTTAATCTTCACTAAGAAATCAGGGAAGTTGTTTCCGAAACTCTTTCAGAAAGAAAAATAACAGTTAAGAACATAAAAGGCTACACTTCATTTAATTTGAAAAATTCCTGTATGTAGAATACCTCTTCAAAAATACGAGGACATGTCAGGTGTTGCTGTGCCGTTTAAATTTTATAGTTTGTATTACTTGATTAAGTCAGCCAAGAAATGTAACAAATTATTCTCTCCAATTGTAGGATCTGAAGCTTGCGGAAATTAAAGGTCTAATTTCCAAACCTGGAAAATACTTTTCATCTTCTTTTAACACTAACCCCAACTCAGTGATCACTGCAGAGGAGGGAACCTGGATCTTTTAAAAACATCTAAGAGGGGCGCCTGGGTGGTTCAGT